ATATATATATATATATATATATATATATATATATATATATATATATATTTATTTTATATAAATGAAACATGCATATAACATTTAATACAAAGTTTTACACTGCGGGAATTTAAATGCTTACCTGAATTTGCAGACGCTTTACTCACTCTGGGCTTTTTCTTTGGGGGCATCCTTCACAGTCTGCAAAGATCCACTGGAGGATCTTATGTAGTAGTATTCAGTGCTTTTATCCCCTGCTTGAAGATATATATATATATATATATATATATATATATATATATATACATGTATTTTTCAGATTATGAAGCAAATTTTAAACATCTAGGCAAATATAAAGGAAAATAACAGATATTTATTTTATTGCAAAAAAAGGGGGGGGAAGTGTGGGAAGCAACCACAAACTGGGGAAAGGTGATTGATTATCTGTAACGTTTATTTAAGTGTGGTGAAAGTAAAGGCAGCAGAAATCTATCATGGGACAAATACTTTATCACAGTACTGTAATATAAACACTATTTTCTTTTTACAGTGTGCCCTCCTTAAAATATTAATCTTAAATTTGCTGTGTAAAATTTCCAGGCTTGTTTAAATCGTTGAGAAGCTGCACCTGCTAACCACAACAGCTAACATTTTAATTGTGGGAGTAATAAAAAAAGAAAAGAGAAACATGTTTACTTTCCAGTTTTTGTATCATAAGAAATAAATGTTTACGTAATTCACGTGGAACATCTCGACCCATGCCGTGAATTGAGAACTATGTGCTCCTAATGGCATCCGTTAAGTAAAAACAAAAAGAAAACAACCCAGTGTAATGTATGGATAAATAATTTAAGCCAAATGTCATACCTTCCTGAGTCAGGCAGGCCTTCAAATCCCGCGAAAAGCCCACAGCGCGTGACGTCAACAAAAGGTATTTTCTGACACTAGCTATTTGGCTAATGTTGCATTCAGTGTTAAGCGAAAAACGGGGTTTTAAACTTTTACTTTCTTACATCTTCCCTCATACAGCAGCTTGTAAAGCCTATTCTACTGAGCTAATTAATACACTTTGTGTGACTCATTGACACATATGTGTTTTGAATGCTGTCTGTGTTTTGTGCAGTGCTTGCACAAAATCTGATGAATTTCTAGAAATAAGATTCGGTTGTATATTTTTTATTTTCTTTTTTGCCACTTGAAAAAGCTGGCCAGTATATCTGATTCTGATTATTACTGATGAAATTGGGTACACTATCATCAGCCAGCAAAGGACTACTGACAACTAAAAAAATTAGAATAACTAATCCACTCGGAAAGTTGATTTGGAGCCCAACTTTCCGAGTACATCAAATGCAACATAATCTTGTTGGCTGTGTTTAGTCCTTCAGGGACAAAATTTGTTTGCTTTTATTTCCGAGTATTTTTTATTTATTTATTTACAATGCGTATCCATCATATAAAAATAACTTGACATTAAAATACAGGAAACAATAGTTTCTGTAGTTTATCACAGTGTGGTATGGCATGTGAGGACTTGGAAAAAAATACATTACCCAGCAGCCCAACCATAGAGGTGGGTGCGCTCGAAATGTTACTCGGTGAAGCAGCTGGAGTCGAGAAGTAGGAGTAGTTTCCTCCATTCAAACCAGTGAGAGCATGACACGGAAGGAAGCTGAAAGTTATCAGAAATAAAACAAAAAAGTTTGCTCGAGAAATGTTTATGAAGGGGTTCTAGAATAAAGCTTTGACATCCATTTAAAAGGAAAACCCCTCCATTGTTATCCGATAGCCCCAGTTAATTCCCCGGCTGACTGCCAAGGAGCGCACCCAGTGTTGTAACTGTGGAGGTAAACATGGCCGCCCTCGGACCTCTGTCAAGAATAACCCGGCTTGGATGCAACTTCTGTCGGAACCACCGTTTGGTGTTTAACAGAAACTCTCAGAAACGAGGAATAGCTTCGTGTATTGACCGTAAGTTTATAAATAATGGGAGCTGTGATAGTTTATTTATACTGTAGCTCTTGGGAAATAAAATCTGTAATACTAGTATGTTAGCTATCAAGCTAACGCCACTTCTTCCCAACATTTAAGCTAATATTCAGTAACCAGTTCAGTTTAATAAAAGAGAATGCATTTCGCACACTGTCATCTCTCAGCTGGCTGTCATTGGTTAGTTTAGTCTCTGTGGGCCTCCAGTGGCGAAGCAGAAGAGGCTACACGCCCCTCTTTAAAGCCTCTCCCCCTCTTGTGTACCATCAGATTTAAAAACACCACTTGTATAATTTGGCTTTTTGAGTTCAACAGACTCACGTGAAGTCAGGTTTTATCTACAAAGCTATAGAAAACCGCTATAGAAAACCACAACGGTGCTGATGAAAAGTTGTAATATATGTCTGAAAATATGTAAACCGAACTAACAATACATTATAAAATAAATGAACAATTTTACAGTGAACATTATTTCTGCCCCCTGTGTCTCTCCGTGGTCAGCTTCATATGGACTCACAGACGAGCAGAAAGAGTTTCAGAAAGTGGCCTTTGACTTTGCAGCCAATGAAATGGCTCCACACATGGCAGAGTGGGACCAAAAGGTACGTTTCAGTGTTTTCCTTGATAAATGCAATCCCTGGGCTATCTTTAAATTGTTAAGTTAGCAGTAAATATTATTTGTACAAGTGGTGTGTTGTATAATCATTCCACTATGACAAAAGAGCAGTTCAAATAAATAATTGCCACATTTTAATTTATTAAGATCTGATAGTTCCCTCAGTGGATGAATAAAATATTTATCTTTTTATTGCATAGAAATAATATGAACTTCCTTTAAAATCCTGAGAATGTGTAAGTTTTTTGGGATTTATTTTGCTTGGAATAATTAAATTAGTAATAAGTTGCATTCCTGGATCTGTTTGCAGCTTTATAAAATATCACAGCATCTGCCTTCTGAAAGTGTTTTCTGTTCTGTGAACTGGATTTGTTTTTTTTTTTTATGTTGCCCCGCAGGAAGTCTTCCCAGTGGAGACGATGCGGAAAGCAGCCCAGTTAGGTTTCGGTGGGATCTACACTCGGCCGGAGGTCGGGGGGTCAGGCCTCTCTCGTCTGGACACGTCCATCATTTTTGAGGCCCTTTCCACAGGATGCGTTAGCACCACAGCTTACATTAGCATCCACAAGTATGGCCGTGTCAAATATCTGACATTACTGCTTTGTAACTAGTTAAATGTTCTATACGTCTATACTTATACATATATATAAAAAGTAAAACTCAGTCGCTTGAACTTATATGGATGAACTTGCTTATCTTGCAGCATGTGTGCCTGGATGATTGACACCTTTGGGAATGACGAGCAGAGGGAGAGGTTCTGTCCTGACCTCTGCTCCATGGAAAAGTTTGCATCCTACTGTCTGACTGAACCAGGTCAGCCTCCATGCTAATAACAATAACAAACAAAGATAACAAAGATATTAGAGAAATTGTGTGGATAAAGTTTGTGGACGAACCCTGAATTGTTGCGTTGGACGTTCAGGATCATAGAGAATAAAACTGAGACGTTTTCTTTCAGGCAGTGGCAGTGACGCCGCTTCACTCCTCACATCCGCTCAGCGGAAAGGGGACCATTATGTCTTAAATGGCTCCAAGGTAAGTAACGTTTTCAGCATTTTGTCACATTATACCTACAGACTTAAATGCATTTTATTGGTATTTTATTTAATAGGCCTTATTGGTTGAAAATGGTCTCGAAACAACAATATTATCGTTTATCGCAATAATTTCCGCCACAATTTATAGTCCAGCAAAATTTACTGTGACAGTCCAACATATTCGCCACGTATCATCTTTAAACTTCATGATTATTTGCTCCTTTGTGTTGGTCTATCACATCAACTAATTCTGCTGGGATTTTAAGCTGTGGTTGTAATGTGATAAAACATTAGCGTAAAAGTAAAAGCTCAGATCAGAGCAGCCTTGCAAAGTGATATTTGTAGTTTGTAAGACTTTAGTGCGACTGAAACATTTTTTTTTCTCTCAGGCGTTTATCAGTGGGGGAGGAGACACCGACGTGTATGTTGTGATGTGCAGAACGGGAGGCAAAGGGCCTAAAGGAATCTCATGTTTGGTGGTGGAGAAGGGAACACCAGGCCTCAGTTTTGGCAAAAAGGAGAAGAAGGTACGTTGCTGTTTGACTTGAAATGTACTGAATGTTGCAGTGCCGCAGTCAGCCGCTAGATGGCAGAGTTGATCCGGCTGGTCTCTCCAGGTAGGCTGGAACTGTCAGCCAACCAGGGCCGTGATATTCGAGGACTGTTCCGTCCCGGCGACCAACCGACTGGGCGAGGAAGGACAAGGCTTCAACATCGCAATGAAGGGCCTGAATGGAGGCAGGATTAATATCGGTGAGGAGGAAGTCACACCAGTTTAGGTTATCAAAATGTTTAGCTATAAATAAATAAATAAATAAATAAATAAATAATAATACTGTGCAAAATTCAACACAGTGATCAGAGAGTAGAGTCAGAATTTGTCAGCGTGCATATGTCTACTGAAACAGAAAAAAATAAAAGAAAATGCAACCATTTTATTCCATTATTTTTAGTGCATTTAAAGGAAAAACCCTCATCACATTCAATTCAATTCATGTAGTTTATTCATTTAGTTTATTCATGTAACTGTCATTTGAAGGCACTTTACAGAAAATGATGCATCCCTAAATCTGTTGCAGTAAGCAATAAATCAATTGATAAATAAAAACTAGCATAATTTGCATAATTTACTGTTTTTTTCTCTCCTTTTTTTTCTACCAAAAACTGGATGACAAAAGTCTTAAGTCTGGTGCTTTGGTCTCAACTTGCCATTGCTTTAAGAATCATTTTATTTAGAGACACTTAATAATTCATTTTATTTCTTGCTTCTGTTGTTTTTGTTACTTTATTTTGGATATTTAAAATGTCTTCCAGTTCCAGTGTTAAATAGAGAATGTGCTTCATTATATTACTTGAAAATGGTCTGAAAACAACAATATTATCGTTTATCGCGATAACTTCTGGGACAATTTATCACCCAGCAAAATATGCTCATGTGACAGGCCTACACATTAATAGCTTTTTCCCCATTTGATTTAAACACAAAGTAACATTGTGACATTCTAAATGTATTTGCAGCTCTGAAGCTGGTATAGATAAAGTGTCTCCTCAACAGCTCAGACGGAGGATAATGCAGGCAGGTTTTTGCATCAATAATGTTCTTAAGTGCTGAGGTGTTGAAAGCATGAGTAATGGTTTATTTTCTCTGAATTAGCATACACTTGATTTTGTAAATGTAAAAAAATTCAGGATTAGTGAAAAAAATCTTTAGTCATTGAAGCTGTTTTTTATTGTTTTTTTTTTTGTTTGTTTTTTTACTCTGTGTTCTCCGTCGTCAGCTTCCTGTTCTCTGGGAGCAGCGCACGCCTCCGTGCTGCTGGCGAGGGATCACCTGTTGGTGCGGAAGCAGTTTGGCAAAACGCTCGCCAACAACCAAGTAAGCAGCTTCGGTTTTCGCACTCGCGCAGGAACCCCGAATATAACAGTAAAATGCAACTTTTGTTTTCTTTTTACGTGTCTGTTTCTACACCGCTCGTGTAGTTTCTGCAGTTCAAACTGGCAGAAATGGCCACCAAGCTGGTGGCATCTCGCCTGCTGGTGCGCGAGGCCGCCACGGCGCTACAGGAGAACCGAGCCGACGCCGTTTCGCTCTGCTCCATGGCCAAGCTTTTCGTTACGGATGAGTGCTTCAACGTGAGTCGGACTGAAATAATTCCCACGGCATGGTGCTGCCACCACCACCATGTTTTAATGTTGGGATGGTGTCTTTAGGGTGATTTTCCATTTATTCACAGAACAGCCATTTTTATATTGACATCAAATCACACAAAGACCGACTGTTTGCTAATTTTATTTACAGGTTTCAAAGGTAAGGGGTTTGAATGCAAATCCATGTTGGGCTTTTCTTTAGAAAAATAATAAATGCCATAATGATAAATTTTGCTGAGTGATAAGTTGTCCCTTTAATTATCACAATGAATGGTAATATTGTCGTTTGGAGACCATTTTCAAGTAAAAATATTGATATTGGCATAATAATGCAAGTTTTCCCTCTCGAAGACAACTAAGCTTTAATTTTGTACATAACACTTTATTTTGGATCTTTAAATATATCTAAAATACAAACAGAACAATCAAAAACAATAAATAAAAACCATGCGCTACGGAAAGAATAAATAAAATGAATTATAATGTTTCTGTAAATAAAATTGCCCTTCAAAAAATATTCATCATTACAGTAGAAATTAATGAGCTCATTTGAACTTATAATCTGATTGATTGTTTATCGTGACATGTTTAACCATGTACAGGTTTTGTGTTTATCTCCTAAAAAAATAAAATCTCAGTAAAAAAAAAAAAAAAAAAAAAAAAATGGGGGGAAAAATAAAAAAAATTTTTGGGGGGAAACTAAAAAAA